CATAGTTCTGCATTGTATAGGTACAACGAGAACATTAATGATTTAAATAAAATACTGTTATTTCGACATAAGAAAACATACCTTAAGCAATAAAGGCCATTCTGAAGTATTTAATCGGGGAGTAAATTTTTGGGGTTTAATTGAAAAATCTTCCTCTTGACGTGACTTGGAATGTTCACCGAGTTTTACTGGTTCACTCATCTGAATACAGTCTATAAAATGGTTACTTTAGCTGATATCTATCAAATTCAATGCTTATAGGCTAGCTCAACTACAGATAACAACTATTTCTCGAACTGCTAAGTGTTTTTTTTTTTTTTTTCAACTAGAGTCACGTACGTACATATCAAAACAGCAGCTCATCAGATTATCTATAACGATAACAGCCAATCATTGGAACTAGACCAACCGACTACGTATCTGCATTTTTAGTTAACGAATGACTAAATTTTGCGCAAAATTTATTAAATCCGGCCAGCCGACCACGATTCCGACCTGGAATTTTGAGACTGCATTGTAAATCAAGAGCTATGATTCGAGACACTTAAAGACTTCACAAACTTTAAATGCTAATAATATTTAATAGAAAAACAATATCATAAAAAATAGGCCACTATTTTGTAGTTTAACCAATTTACTACAACTTAGCGGCTTTATTTTTTAAAAAAATCATTGTATAGTTTTTCAATTAATGAGTTTAAAGATCTAGTATTTTCATATGATCCGTACAAATTTGGACAAGTCACATGTTTTAAATTTATTTTAAGAGCGAATCTATTTGTCGCCGGCGGTGACAGTACCGGAGTGTGATCGACCAATTAGATCACAGGATCATGTGTAACGTGAAAAATGTAAAAACTTTGATTTTTTTATTAAAAAATCACCGTTTTTTATCTATGAAACCACATTTTATATTCTAACCAAAAAAATTCCTTGCAAAATTTTATTATATGCTATGCTTTACCCAACCTTAACTATGGTTCTAACCCCAACTAGTGTTGAAAATTTGGCACAAATATGCTGTGCAAAAAAATTTTTTTTTTATACAAACTTACAATACGCACAAAATAAATCATTATCATGTGAACACTTTATTGAATAACATATAATACATGTTGGGGATGATGCTGAAATCAGATGATGCTGAAATTTAGGGGCCTTAATTTGAAAATATAAATCCTACTAAAATCCACCTATACTCTTTTATTATAAACACTAACCCTAAATTCTAATCGAACTATGAAAAAAAAGCTAAACAAAACACCCCAAAAAAAATTTACATTTTCATAATAAAATAAGTCAAAATTTCAGCATCATCCAATTTCAGCATCATCCCGACAATACATATATGTATATATATATATAATATATATAACAATTAGGGTGTGGTGACTTAGTGAAGTGGTTAAGTTGTTGCACCTCCAAGTGATATGTCGGCCAGGTAGAGGTTCAAAACCTACTGGCGATGAATTTTGAATATTCTACTTATACGACGGCTACTGTCTTTCGATGATTGGTTGGAACAGGATCTCTGTAACCTTGGTGATACCAACAAGATTGGAAGATCATAGGGCATTCGTGTAATGTATAAGTTACACGAATGTTCCGGATCGTGTTAATCCAAAGAACCGGAAAGATGGACACCCACTTGGCAAGACCCGAGTAGAGAAATAGCACAGATCTTCGACGGTGCTATGTAAAAGATTGCTATCGGAGAACTAGCAAAAACTGAACAAAGACCAGTATATAGCAAAGCACCCCACCAACCAGGTCGTCGGGACTGAGTCTGTTGGAACTGGAGGAAAAGGATCTGCTTAGTTGCAGATACCAGGGGAAAAAAATCTCTTTCAGACCATCTGGATTGGTAGTTTGGGATAGTTAGAGATACGGTTGACAGTCTGTAAAGTGAGTATCGGGGTTTGGGTGAACTTTACAAAAGGGTAATAGGTAACTGTAGCGGTTTCAGCTTGCAAGTACTTGTCTTCGGACTCGGCGTAAATTACTGAATCTAGGTAAATCCAGATTGTGGGTTCGGACTGCTCTAGTGTCGATCCCTCGAGGATAAATTAGTCCTAAGGAAATAGATAAAGTATCTGAGACGTCTTGACTAACAAATATACCAGAGATGTCTTGGTGACACAGGTTTAGTTACATTACAGAGAGTTAAACAGGTAACACCCATAGTTGGATTACAGGTATGGCATCTAGTATAGAACCTGTATGATATACAGGCGGACTACTTAAATTAGATATCAAAAGTGTACATGTGGCTAGTATGTACTCTCTAATGTAGGGGTTCCTAGAGAACCCTTTGCTATATATACCTGAATAAAAATCCTAGCTCCCAAGAGGGTAGACGTTAAAAATATATATATATATATATAACAGTTAATAGTTATTATGTAATACATCATGCTTGCTGTTTTTTTCAAAAATTATATGTAGATTTCTAGTCAAACAAGTTAATATTATCAGGTACATTTTCATGAATCATTAAAAACATATTGAGTGTATTCATATTTATATGATTTCATATCTTATTCTTAATTAATTTATATTAAGAAAAGATACATTCTACATGTGTATTGGATAATAGAATAATAAGGTTAAGTTTAACAAGTAAAAAAATATTTAGAAATTTAGTATAAAAATATAGTTTGGTAGAAAAAATAAAATGTCACTCATTGATACAATTAAATTCCCAAATAGATTTCATCATTTCTTTAACTAATCTCTATTTTTGTTTTAATTCCTGTTTATCAATTACTGCTAAAATTATTTTTCTATCATTAGTTTTCTTATGTCGAAATAACAGTATTTTATTTAAATCATTAATGTTCTCGTTGTACCTATACAATGCAGAACTATG